AGTATTTAACAAAGGAAGAGACCACATCTTCTGGTGGAAATACCACATCTTCTGGTGGAAATACCACTCCCTGAGCCCATTAGTAAACTGCTAGACAAGTAATATCAGGTGTTTGCTACTCCAGATTCTCTACCTCCAAACAGAGAAGTTGACCATCAAATTCCACTCAAAATTAGAGCTCAAGCTTTCAAAATTCCACCTTATAGATGCCCTCGTGCTCATAAAGCTGAAATTGAGAAGCAGGTAGCTGAGTTACTGGAACAAGGAATAGCTAGAGCTAGCAAGAGTCCTTTTGCATCTCCTGTCATTCTAGTGAAGAAAAAATATGGAAGCTGGAGGATGTGCATTGACTATAGGAAGCTGAATGAGATGACTGTTAAAGATAGATTCCCTATTCCAATTATAGAGGAACTTCTTAATGAACTAAATGGTGCATCAGTGTTTTCTAAACTGAATTTAAGATCTGGTTATCATCAGATTAGGGTAAATGAAGTTGATATCCACAAGACTGCATTTCAAACTCATTCAGGTCACTATGAGTTTTTGGTTATGCCATTTGGGTTAACTAATGGACCAGCAACCTTCCAATCACTCATCAACCTGCCATTTGGGTTTGTCTTAGTGTTTTTTGATGACATTCTGGTTTATAGCAAGAATTTGGAGGATCATGTGAAGGACTTGGAATAAGTTCTTGCTACCTTACAGAAACACCAACTCTATGCTAAGAAGAGCAAGTGTTTTTTGCTCAAAGCTCCATTGACTATCTAGGTCATAAAATCTCAGCAGAAGGGGTCAGTATGGATGGACAAAAGGTTAGTTGCATCACTGAATGGCCAGTTCCAAGTAATGTTAAGGCCTTAAGGGGATTTCTAGGCTTAACAGGATATTACAGAAGGTTTGTTAGAGGGCTTGGGGTGATCTGCAAACCTCTGACAAATCTGCTCAGAAATAATGCTTTCGAATGGACTAAGGAAGCTCAGCAAGCATTTGAATCTTTGAAGGCCTGTCTGATTAAGGCTCATGTACTTAAATTACCTGATTTCTCCCAACCATTTGTGGTAGAGACTGATGTTAGTGATACTGGAATGGGAGCAGTCCTCATGCAGCAAGGTCAACCTATTGCATTCCTTAGCAAATCATTCAGTCCAAGGAGCAAAGGATTTTTCGTCTATGAGAAAGAGTTAATGGCATTGGTATTAGCTGTAACTAAGTGGAAACACTACTTGATGAGAACTCATTTCATCATCAAAACTGACCATCAATCTCTCAGATATCTGCTTGGGCAAAAGGTGATCAATAACTCCAACCAGCATAAATGGCTTACTAAGCTACTTGGGTATGATTATGAAATTCAGTATAAGAAGGGTACAGAGATAATGCAGCTGATGCTCTATCTAGAAGGGATCAAACTCTAGTACCACCAGTTGAAAATTCTCAGTTGTTTGCCATTACTTCAATTCAACCAAGTTGGATGCAAGAAGTTGAGGAGAGCTATCAGAATGATCCTTTGCTACTGATAAATTTGTTGAACTGACTGTTAATCCTCAGTCATAGGGAGAGTTTCAGTATATAAAAGACATCCTAAGAAAGAGAGGAAAAGTCTATGTTGGGAACTGTACTGATATTAGGCAAAATTTGCTAGAAACATTTCACTCCTCACCACTTGGAGGTCATTTTGGGAAGAATATAACTTGGATCAGACTCAAGTCCATTTTCTTTTGGCCAAGAATGAAGACAGACGTGATGGAATTTGTCAAAAATTGTGAAGATGTCAGAAGAATAAGGCTAAACATGTGGCTTCTCCGAGATTGTTACATCCAAACCCTATTCCTCCGCATGCTTGGAAAAATCTCTCCATAGATTTCATAGTAAAGTTGCCTCCTTCTGAAGGTGTTGATACCATTCTAGTAGTGGTAGATAGACTTACTAAATACAGTCATTTCATTGCCTTGTCAACTCCAATCACAACTTCTAGGGTTACAGATGTGTTCTTACAGGAAATTTTTAGACTCCATGGGTTGCCTAATGACATTATCACTGACAGAGATCCTATCTTCACTAGTCACTTTCGGCAAGAGTTATTCAGGTTACTTGGGGTAAAATTGAAGCTCATCACAACATACCATCCTCAAACAGATGGCCAAACTGAGACAGTAAACTAGTGTGTTGAAAGCTACTTAAGATGTTTCTGTTGTGAGAAGCCAAGCACTTGGAGTAAATGGTTGTCACTTGCTGAATGGTGGTACAATACTTCTTATCATTCCACCATTAATATGACACCATTTGAGGCTCTCTATGGGGAAAAACCTGTGACTGTTTGATTTGGGGATTATGCTGTTGTACTGCTGCTGGACAGGCAGTACAACAGAGAGGAATGGTTCTCAAACTGCTTAAGGATCACTTGGTTAAGGCATAACATAGAATGAAGTACTATGTTGGCCACCACAGGACTGAGAGGGTGCTTAATGTTGGAGATTGGGTATACTTAAAGTTGCAGCCCTATAGACAATCTACTACTGCAATCAGGATTTGTTTGAAGCTGTCATCTAGGTACTTTGGACCTTATAAGTTGGAAGCAAGAGTTGGTGAAGTTGCATACAAGCTGAAGCTACCTGATCATGTTAAAATCCATCATGTGTTCCCTGTGTCTCTGCTTAAGAAGCATCATGGAAAGGTACTGCCTGTTAGCACTCCTCCTCCAGATTTGGCATTGATTGAAGAAAACTCCTTACAGCCGGAAAGGGTGATGAAGAGGAGATTTATTGAGAGAAATAGAGTGAAGGTGACTCAGCTTCTGATCAAATGGAAGGATTTTCCTCATGAGGATTCATCTTGGGATGATCTTTCATTCATATGCAGCCAGTTTCCAGGGTTCAAACCTTGAGGACAAGGTTTTTGTTAAGGGAAAGGCATTGTCACATACTAGGGGTTTAATTGTAAAACTCAGAAATAGTTTGGGGTCGATTGGAAAACAATTGAAGGTTAGAGCGCTTAACTGTAAAGAGACAGATTTGGTCATCATTAGCAATATGGTGTAATGATTAGTCAATGATTACAGCCATTAAATAGCTGTTAAACGGTTGTAAGAGACAGTTATGATGATAATGATGAATTCTTGATTCTCCCCCTTGAACATTCTTCTTCTGAAACTTCTCCCTCCGACTACAATTCTCTGGCGATCGGCTTCCATTTTCGGCCATCATTTCTTCATTTCTCAGCCGTAGCTGACAGGTTATTATGCATACCCAGTATATACTCCTTCCATTCCAAAATAAGTGTTATCCTATACTTTGCACATAGTTTAAGAAACTCTTAAATAAGATAATAAAATTACTTAAAAATCCTCAACCAACTCTATTAACAAAAGGTCCACCAATAGTATTAATTCTTTTGAGGGTAATTTTGAAAACTTTACGCAAAAAGTGCATTGAAATGTGAAAATGACACTTATTTTGAAATTTCTCTATTTTGCTAAAACGATACTTATTTTAGAACGGAGGGAGTATATCACAAGCTTTAATTATTGTTCAACAACAAATGTTGATAATAACCGATGATCCTAGGTAATTTAGGGTATGTTTGTTTCATTTTTTTAGTGTGTGTTTTTTGTATTAGGAATGTAAAAAATTGTATTAGAAATGTAAAAAGATATGTTGGAATGGGACATATATTATTATATTATTGGAAAAAAATCATGAGAAAAAGGAAACAAACAGAACCTGAGTTTTTCCTTTCTGCGTTGGGCCTTTTCTTGTTGAGGCCGAAAACGTCAGCCCATAAGGATAAAGGATATTGTTATGGTTTTAGTACTAGTTTGGTATTAGGTAAAATTAGAAGAATTAAATCTTAATATTAGTTTCTTAGTTCATTTTATATGCTCTTTACTGTATTGTAATGGGAATTATCGAATTAATGAAAAATATTGTATGAAATCTCTTTTTCTCTCCAACCTTTCCCTTTCATCCCTATTCTAATCCGTCCCGGTTCAATCTATTTCTCCTTTTCTCTTCTTTTCGTTAATCTTCTAAATTCTAAAATCTAAAATTGACCTTAAATTCCTATAACATTACATGTGTTGAACAGATATGAAAGATTGACCATGCAACAAATAAAACATTCTACTTCCTAATTGTCCTATGCTGTTTATTCTATCTGAATTATTCTAATTATAAACGTTCCTGCTGTCCTTGTTCTTTCTAAATATACTGGTACGGTGCAGCATCACCTGAAAGGATGGGAGCATTTTTCAGATTTTTTTTTTCTCTATAAAATTTGTAGTAGTGAGTCGTGTTAAATTTTGGTTCCGTTTCAGATAGACATAATAGGATGAAAAAGAAAGCTTAAAATCGTTGATCAATGATGATATGTTAATGTCTCCTCCTGAAATACAAATACAATTATCAACTGCGACGAGGTAACATTCAGAAGCTTCCGTTGTTCAAGTAGTTAGTTTTCACGGCCGCCTAAGAACAGTTCGATCATTTCCATGGTGTGATAGTATAACAAGAATGCTTAGTATCTGTATGTTTGCTATTTTTCCGGTTCTAAAACGCATATAATTATCTCATACATAGGACCGAATGAAGTACACGAACTGAAAACCACTCGACTACCGATCATAGGCTTCCCATGTGAGATAAACGTCTATTATTTATTTATGTTTTTGTGGTATGCAAACGTACATAGAAAGGAGGCCTTGGCCTAAGTTAAGCTATTACATTCCCGGGATACGATACCGACACTCCATTGCATCGTGGGCGTAGACTGACTAACGCGGGAGGATTGGCTAGAATCATAAACGTCTATTAATTGTGTTCAGGATACATGATCTATTTTTTGTTGTTTTTTTGGCCAAAGATTTGACCCAAACTTAGAATGTATCAGGAACTCGCGGCACTTCATATTGTATTCAAGGACAATAGTTGGTGTAAGTACCCAATGGAGATGGAGATATTTGTTGTGAAGAAGAAACGAACTGAAAAGCTTGTCTTGAATGGTCATGAGATAATGCCTAATATTTACCGATACAAGCAGCAGAGTTGCGTTTAGTTGTTGCAACCAATTAAGCAGGCAAAACGGAGTACCCATTTCTTCCCTACGCAAAGTGCCAAAGAAACCACCATCATAGAGAAACCGAAAATGCCATCCAGCATAAACGATAACGTGGCAGAAATCCAACATCAAGATAACATCAGATTGTTGTTGGAGAGCACCTGCAACAAAAACCTTATTTTCTCGCTCCATAATCCAGAGAAATCCTTCAAAATGCATGGAAGGTACAGCACAATCTCTAGAAACATGAATTGTGTAGACAGGGAAATACGAAGATGAGCAGAAGCTTTATTTAGTTAAGTTATTTAGGAAAGGCATAATTACAGCCTCTCGCTTCCATACATTTGTCCGGTGCACCAAGAAGAAACTAGAGAAAAAAAATATTACAGCAGATGAAGAAGCTACTAGATTATCTCGGTGACTCTCAATCAACCTCTCCCTTCTCTGGAGAACTGATGCCACAAGAGAATCTCGCATACCAGCCGGAAACTACAAAAACTAAATTACATAATGCCAGCAGGAAATATCTAGCCTCCACGAACAAGTCTTCTCAAGTCTTCGTTCTCCTTGTTCAACAAATCAATGCGCGATTGAAGGATGTTAATCATGGCTTGTGCTCGCATCACTTCGATCTTCAAGGTTTCCCGCTCCATGGACACATTGAGGATCTCAGTCTCTAAATTGCTAATGAATTTCAGGTAGCCAGGAGGCACAGATTTCTCGAGATTGGAGGAGTCAAATGTAACAGTGCTTGCTGGCTGGCTTTCTTTAGGTTCGACGGATTCAAGTAAAGGAAATTCCAAAAGTGAAGAAGAAAAGTTATTTGTCGTCATCATCATTGTTGTAGGTTCCTGACTCGTAGTAGTAGAGTCCTCTGAACCATTGGCATGGCTGGAGTTAGGATCATCTTGCCTTGCCCTTTTATTTTGCCCTAAAGAGAGAAGCTCCGGTTCCTCAGACTTCTCTCTCTTGCAAATAAATGGTATTCCCTGGGGGGGCTCACTTTGATCACATTGGCCAGGAGGAGCTTTATTCATATACTGCAACAACCACCAGATATTAGATGTAATACTATGGAACTATACCCACTTCATTGAGGGTGAACATAAACCAAACATGCACAAAACATGAATTCACATTTTAAATTGGAACACACAGCACAAACATGCAAGATATAGAATGAAACCAAGATCTAGCACCGATGAGCCACACTCCTTACTATCATAACCACAATTAGACAAAGCATCACCAGTTAGCACATTTAACAAATACTTGAATACTTCACCCTTTGTCAACGATTATTTGGCTGTTAACAATGGACACATCATTACTGACCTAGAGGCACCGAACCACGAAAAGGTAATGATGTCTACCAGGTACTTTCCAGATCAACAAGGATAGGTAAGCTGGTAAGGAATAAAAACATTCCAGGATAGACTACCTTGCTTATATAAGTTCCTAAAGCCATGCTGAAAGTACAGTATGGCTTCACTGTAACTAAAGAACCATGAACAGCAATCAACATTATTAGAGAAGAGAGAAAGCTGGGTAGAAAGACAATGCAGAATAGAAAGAATTCCAGAACAAGATAATTCCCGTTGCAACAATGATAAGTTCTAATCAGGTAGGATTCAAGCCTATGTCCAGCAATATATGCAAAGTGACTTGGTTTCATGATGTTGCACTAAGATATGATGTCCAATGCCCAACACAAGAGAAAGATGCCGTACAGAACAGTGTACTTCCATTTGTCTTCCCTTGTAAAAGAAGAGAACCTGGAGATGCTATAAAAAGGTTTATCCAACATAGCAACTTGACCATTCTCCTTCCATCAAAGATGTCAAGATAAAGAATTCATGTCTGCCTGGAGAAATTGTACGACTTGCAAGTAGCCGTTCTTAATGAACCAAGTAATCACATAGCATACTAACACCGCACTGACTGAGCAAAAGGGGAAACCAGAGCAGTTAGGAAAATGCAAAATACAAATTTACTCCTTAATTTCTCTTCTTCAATTTAACAGTTTCTAGCAAAACTAACTACGAGATGAACAATCAATGTTCTCGGCAGAAAAGGCATTCAAGGATATCTCCTGAAACGACATTCTGAAAATGAAATCCCACAGAATCTTAACAGAAACACAGATGGAGGAAAGTAAAAGTTCCTCCCACTCAATCTCTTTAGCACACGTCACCGACAAAAAGATTCAACTGTTGCCGTACACAAACTAGCCCATAGACCGACAAGCAACGGTACACTCAGATGCAAAACAAATAGGAGCCACGTGTAACTGCCAGACCAATAGAAATAAAAGCTGCACGCAATCACTGGGAAACCACAGTAAAGAGGAACAACAGCAAACAATCTACAATAAATATTTAATAATTGAATAAAAAACAATACAACACCCTCGAAGGACAGCACGAGGCAAAATTTTAGCATTCAATGAATATCCCAGCTAGTAAAACAAAACCTTCTCTAGGTCATGGAAACAGATTCTTACTTCATCACCATTGGCCATGTCATCTTCAGCCTCTGCCCCAGGGATGAAAAGAGTTGCCTCATCATCCCATTCCTCGTCTAGAAATGGGGCATAACGATCACCATTTGGTGGCCCAAGACCACTCTTTTGGAAAATTCTGCAGAGGACAAACGCATCCTTTCCTCCCATGATAACAACAGACTCTAGTAAGTTCCATAGTTGGAAATAGATCGCAATCAATACATACCAAAATTCAAAAACTTCCTGTTAACAAACCTGTACCACTCCAGCTCTTCCTAGCTCTTCATCCACTAGTCGGTACTCGTGCATCACCCAGTTTGTCCTCTTTCCATCAGGTGCTCTACCACCATGGAAAACAAGTGTTTTTTTCATTCCAATTGTCTGATTCTTATGGCGCACACAACGATCCTTACCAGTCGCTTTCCAGTAGCCCTTGCCGGTGGCACGATTCAGGCGAGACCCATTACCATACTTCCTGTCAACAGGGCTGAAAAAGTACCACTCCAGATCTCTTGTCTTCAAAGATGAATAACCTGCACATTTAAAACGTTAGGCAACATTCACTTAAAAAAAAAAAAAAAAGGCAACAAAACATGAGGATGACATTAAACACCACGGGAAGTGCCAAACATGAAGAAACCGAAAAGCTTGTCAACTATAAGCAAACGATGTTAGAACAAAGTCATTCATATTGTTCATAAACAAAAATCGGAGACCCCAATTGGAAAAAAACTGACAACCTTCGACACTTTAAGGAACTGGAAACGTGTTCAGCGGCAAATAGACAACAAATCACTTTCCCAATCCTCTTGTTAGCGAGCAACAGGAATATTGCATGCACATTTTCACAAAGACTACTGGTAGGTTTTTTAAAAAGATGAGAACTTAGTGGGTAATTCTCATCCTCATTGCATTTCTGCTAACTCATAAAGATTGCAATTTTAAGCAATTCAGAACACCAATTTCACTCTTTATTTACAGTTAATCAACCTGCCAAAAAGCCAATTTCTAGAAACATTAAGGAAAAGTAAAACTACTCGCAAAATGAACAGCATAATAAAAAATAAATAAATAGTTTAAGTCAATAGAGTGCGGAAAAAACAATAAATTAACACAAGAATTAGAGACATAAAACCTAACACGCGAGCTTATGACGAAATAAAGTGACAATCAGAAACGCACGAACAAAAATTAAAACCCCCGCACCGCAGAAATCAAACGCAATCAAGCAAATTCAATTCACTCAAACAAGAACCAGCAACTCTCAGACCCCAAAAAAAACGAAACAAACTAATCAAAATTCCACATAAAGATTACAACATTAAAACAACAGTGATGAGGAGTGAATAAAAAATGTTTTACATGCGAGTTCCCAGGGCTCAGATTTGTAGACATCGATCTCGCTAACCGCTTGGAACCTAAAGGGCTTCCCAACAACCTTCCTCCTCAAATAATACCTCACTAACTCCTCATCTGTAGGATGAAACCTGAACCCCGGCGCCAGAGACGTTGGTGGCGGCGCCCCCATGGGCCTAGCAACATTAATTCCCCCCGCACCGCCGCTTGCTGCCGCCCCTCCTCCTCCGCCTGCAACCGGGGTTGATGGCGGTGCCACAGCCACTATCTCTTGCCCCATATCCTAATCCTATCCTAAAAAAAAAACTCTGTTTTCTTATCCTCTATTTTTTTTTCTGCCCAAAAAAACACAAAATTGAAAACCAACCCAGAACCCAGAAATTCAAAACCCACAAACGATCTTCACTCCACACCTCAAGAACAGAACAAATAAAAATAAACTGGTAGGTTTGAGGGCCGGGGGAGAAAAAATTAAAAAAAAAAAGAAAAAGAAGGGATTAATTAGAAGAGAAGTAAAGAAGAGAGAGTGAGGCTTTGAGGAGGGAGTTGGGGTTGGTGTTGATAATAATATTGATTGATGAATTGAGGGAAGAAAAAAAAGAAAGGGGGGGTCTAAAAAGAGAAACAAGAATTGATGAAGGAAATGGGATTGGTATTGCCCATCGGTTAAGAAAGCTTGGGAGGGAGAGGGTTAGGGGAATGGATTAGAAATGGATGCTTGCTTGACACGGAAATCGAAATTCAATATGACAAAAGGCTTTTGTGAGAGAGAGAGAAAAGAGAGAAAAGAGAGCCGGGCTCTGTTCTGTTCGGTGTGTTGGTGGTAGAGTTTTTAGGGGTTAGAAAAATCAGAAAATATTATGCTCTTTTTTTTTGTGAAAATTATATGCTATTAATTCTTTATTTTATTTGATTTGATTTTTCTTCCTAGAACGGTTTTTCTATTTTTTTTCTTTTAATATGTCATGCTAGACTCTTAAGATATAAACCGTTAGATCATAAATTTTATTTCGCGTAAAGATAATTGATACCGTCAAATTATTGACTGAACGATACAGTCGGCAGATAAATATATTTTCCTTTCTCGAATTTATTTTTAATTTTTTTTAAGTTTACTTTTGGAAGAAGGCTCTGGCTATGGTGGGATTTTTTTGGTTTGTGGAATGGTTTATTTTTTGGGGAGTTTGCCGGGTTAGGGAGGGAGAATGCTCATTCACTCCTCGTGGATAACGACAGCCATATTGAATTTTAGTATTTTATTTTTATTTTTTATTTTTGGAGGTGGTTTTTGTATATTTTGGAGAAAGAAAAAAACAATTTTGTGGATGCCGTGGTTATCAATTTAAGGTAACAGATGTACTTAAATAGGGGACATACTTGTGCAACTCAAATTCTTGTTCGGCATTTTTTTATTATTAATTCATTATTTTTGTTTGGAAAAAACAATATTTTCTTTTTGAGAAATCTTGGAAATGAATCCGTTCGGGAAAAAGGATGTGGACGTGTGTATATTTAAGATAATTATAGTACATGATTATCTATTAGGATTTACCTTTTTTTCATGTGTATATGTTTTGGGAATATATTCTGAAATATCTACAAAATATTAATTCTTCAAAAAAATGTATTTTCAAACTTTTAGAAACTATGAGTCCAGTTCGGACAAATATTAATTTTGCCAACTCATATAGTCATATTGTAAATCACAGGGATAGTTACCTTATGCAGCACAATAAAAATAAATTCAATGAAATTTTTAGTAGAAAATAATATTGACGAAAAAATGATACCGGTTCTTAAGAAGAACCAAAAACGGATACAAACCACAATATATTTATATCCAATTGGTTGTAATCCCTTTCATTCATCCTATTAAAGCAGAAAACATGATATTGATGTGGCAATTTCTTATTAAAATGTTTTGGCTCCAAATACATCATATTCCATAAATCATTCTGTCACGTGTCACCTCCTTTTAAAAACAAAAAATATATTTACAATATTAACGAAGATATCAAATGGCCTTATTCATTCAAATTTTGAATTTTGACAGTGAATGGAACTTTCCTTCTCTACTTATTTAGGGCTTTCGAAAAAATTAATTTTTGGTCAATCAATTATCTTCATCAAAAACTAAATTCATTCCTAATCAGTTTTGATTAATGACATATCAATTTATTAGGTGAGACGCCCCCGAACATTTGCCCGAGACAAGCATGTAGTTATACGATGAAAATTAGACGCCATCTGGTCATGGTGGTTGTTCGTAACCCATCCCTTAGGGTTACCACGTTGCGAGAACACAATAACACCTTACCCTTCATTAGGATAATAATTAAGCAGCAAAAAACTTTCTTTTAATAAAATCAAGAACGTCTAACAAAAATAAAATTATAATATTTTAGTAGTAAGAGACACCAATAATCTTATTTTTCAATCACGGTTTTTACTCGAGACCGTGGATCATATATAACTATTATAGACCTAACATATAAAAATTAGTTGATATGTCAAAAATCAGCCATGATATTGGATTCCCGATAAATAGAATAAGCAAAAAATCAAGTAAGTGGCATTAGGGCATGAGGTTTTCCTTGTTAAGTTTGAAGCTTTTAGCAAAATATCGTGATGTTAAATGTTCGGACGCGGATCGCTACGACCGTAGCTAGTTGAATGTTTTGCAAAATTTACGAATAAATGAAGCCCTGACTTTTATGTCTTCCAAAGAAATGTAATGAAAATTTGCTAATTTACATAAAACAAAAGCGAAAATGACTTAAATCACATATAGTTACATTTTTTTTTTTTACTAAAACAAAGTAGTAGTGTCTAAATGTAATTAGAAATGTCATCTTTCTTATATTGATTAAATATTGATTGTTTATCGGGAAAAAAAAAAAGAAAAAAGGCAGCCCCTTAGGCCTTATCAATTACTATTGCACTGCCGATGATGATACTAGCGAAAATTCACTTAACCATTACCGGTTACTGCAAGTGATAAATTTTTTTTTTTTAAAAAAAAAGTTATCACTATTGGATTGTATCGGTTGGATGGGGTAGCAAATATAAAAAATTATTATCAGGAGCATGAGGTAAATATTCAAGTACCCAAAAAATTCACCCTGTCGTTATAATAATTTGGTATTGATAATAACAATCTTTTATTCGTGAATAGTTTTTTATTATGAATTATTTTTTAATACCGTGTATAATAATAATAATTATTAAATCCTTCTTTCTAACAAGAAAATGGCATTATCAATAAAAATATATGGTGACGGTAGAGATGTACGTGTTATATATATAGATATAATTTTTTTTTCCGAGGAACATTTTCAAAAATTTCAAGATAGATGAGCGTCTTATAGGTAAACCACACTAAACAAGATACGAATGAAAGGTTTGAATGAAAAATTGAGGTACATGCATGTGTTCTTCCGAACAAACCAGTTAAAGATATTAATGGGTAGAGGGAGTGTTAGAATTCGCTCTATATAAAAGCGGTGATCAATTGAATTCAAAATCTCATTAAAATAATAAAAATGATTTATTACTGAACCAACACGAAATTATCTATATTAAGCTTTTTAAATTGCTAGGGAAATGCCGTGCGCATGAAAGTAGGTGTCTTTCGGTACGTCCTTTCTGGACTGGTGAAAAGTAAAAATTAAAGAGGGCTGCTGAGATTGCTTTAGCAACAAACAAGAGGTAGGGGGCACTTGGCTGTGGCAGGCAGAGTACAAACTATACAAACGCCCATAAATACGTGAGTGAAAGCTGTAGGCAACTTGGCAAACAGGTTAAAGATTCCCCCCCCCCCCACCCAAAAAAAAAAAAACCAGCTTTGACCCCTCCATTTATATCACCAATTTTAGAAGTTACTGCTTCTTAAGAGCTAGCTATAAATTATAAGGGGTTCCTTCAGTTCGCTGGATGCCACCAAAATATATCATAGGGATTCGGATGATGTGTTTGATGGTAAAGGACACTTTGGTTGTTCCATTTGGACCATTTCCCATCTTCAACGGCTCCGATCACTTCCTTGCATATTTGGAAAACTTTTATCTCTATATTATTATGTTCAATTTTGTAAAACTGTTGATAAAACTGATCGTATAGTAAAACTAAAACAGCTAGCTGTATTGTCCATGTATGCATTGTACACTCAAAACTATGCTTGCTTCCACTGTACATTATGTCATGTGATGTTGGTACGATAAAAACTCTAGTCTTAACTCTTAAGTGTTTTGTTCATCACGGATGAAACAGTTAAGAAAATGTACTCTGTTCGTTTGAGATGTACAGTAGTCAAAATTGCTTGATCCTGTTATAAAAAGCGGCACATTCTCCATCTTAATTTTTAGCAATGTACTTATTTCATTGAACTAAAATTATATAATTGAAGAATTATTATACGCCCCCTATCTTAAAATTATTGTTCAGTTTGAGATTTTATTTTTAGTATAATTTAAAATAAAAACGAACAATAAAACTGGATAATAATTATGAAATAGAGAGAATAGTATAAGACGGAAAGGCCGGATAGAATTACACGTAGATGATGAGGTGATACTTTTGTCAAAATGTCCGGAAAGGGATAATCAATTCGGTGGACAAAAGATGACAAAAAGTTCTCAACAGATGTACAGTCACTGGTGACCATTTCTTCTTGTTTCTAATTTAATACAAACAGGAAAGGCTTAAGACTTCAATAACCGGTGAAATAAATTCAATCAAAGGATGCATGTACAACAATTGTACAATTACCTTTTCTTCTTCTTTCTTTCTTTCTTTTTTATTTTTTAATACATTACAAGATTACACAAACAATATTACCAGAATTCGTAATCTGGATAATATCCAACCATAGTTTAATCTGCTGTGATAATCAATAGTAGCTAATTAATACACACTATGCGCATGCTCTCTAGTCTCTAATATTATATTATTTAAAAATATAAAAATAATTATATCATTAAAAATAATAAATGGAAAAACTGCCAACAACATCAGATTACTACTTGCAAAACTTACGTCATGAAGTTAGTATTTTCATTTCTATTTCACAAGAATGTCATTTTATTTTTTTTTTGGAGCTAGCTCGATCTTGCACCATTTTAATTCAATAAAAATAGACATAATAAAGAAGAACGAAATCAGAAATGTATTTTACACATATGTTGGCCGAAAAAGCCTGCCTCCCTTGTTCCTTTGATCAATCATTTATACAGTATATTTTAGGGTTACAGATACAAAACCCTAGTTAATAAGGTAAGTACAAAGATTTACAGTAGTAAATATCTACTTACCGTAATACCCCCTCAAGTTGGAACATGAGGATTATGAATGCCCAACTTGTTAAGAGATACATAAAACTAGGTCTTGCCCAAAGCTTTCGTAAAAATATCAGCTAGTTGTAAATGAGTAGGAACATAATTCGGGAGAATGGTACCCTTCACAACTTCATCTCGGATAAAATGACAATCAACTTCAATGTGCTTCGTGCGTTCATGGAAGATTGGATTAGCGGCTAAATGCAAAGCAGCCTGACTATCGCAAAAGATTAGCGCAGACCGAGAATGATCAACACCAAAAAAAGACAACAATCCCTTCAGCCATTTGAGTTCGCAAACTATAGAAGCCATGGCTCGATACTCGGCTTCGGCAGAAGAATGAGCAACAGTTTGCTGTTTTTTACTCTTCCAAAAAATAGGAGAGTGACTTAATTAAATGAACCAGCCAGTAAGAGAACGCCTCGTAAGAGAACAACTAGCCTAATCAGAATCACACCATCCAGTAAGTCGTAGATCACTGTCAGCACGAAGTAAAAGACCCTGTCTCGGACTACCTTTTAAATAGCG